GGCAATAGCAGCTAAATAAACTGTTTCTCAAATCATAGTCAACCTAGATGGGAGTTCAATCAAAGGGGAAGTTTGGAAATCCACTCTCCCAGAACTAGCTTAGCTTCCCAGGCAATAGCAGCAAATAAACTGTTTCTCTCATAGTCAACCTAGATGGGAGTTCAATCAAAGGGGAAGTTTGGAAATCCACTCTCCCAGAAGTTCTAGTTTGAAATCCACTCTCCCAGAACTAGATTAGCTTCCCAGGCAATAGCAGCAAATAAACTGTTTCTCTCATAGTCAACCTAGATGGGAGTTCAATCAAAGGGGAAGTTTGGAAATCCACTCTCCCAGAACTAGCTTAGCTTCCCAGGCAATAGCAGCAAATAAACTGTTTCTCTCATAGTCAACCTAGATGGGAGTTCAATCAAAAAGGGAAGTTTCCCAGGCAAAATCAAATAAACTGTTTCTCTCTATAGTCCCAGTTCAATCTAGGAAATCCTCCCAGAACAAATAAAGCTTCCCAGGCAATAGCAGCAAATAAACTGTTTCTCTCATAGTCAACCTAGATGGGAGTTCAATCAAAGGGGAAGTTTGGAAATCCACTCTCCCAGAACTAGCTTAGCTTCCCAGGCAATAGCAGCAAATAAACTGTTTCTCTCATAGTCAACCTAGATGGGAGTTCAACAAAGGGAAGTTTGAAACCACTCTCCAGAACTAGATTACTTCCCAGGCAATAGCAGCAAATAAACTGTTTCTCTCATAGTCAACCTAGATGGGAGTTCAATCAAAGGGGAAGTTTGGAAATCCACTCTCCCAGAACTAGATTAGCTTCCCAGGCAATAGCAAATAAAATAAACTAGATGTTACTCAAATCATAGTCAACCCTAGATGGGAGTTCAATCAAAGGGAAGTTTGGAAATCTCCACTCTCCCCAGAACTAAAGTTTCTCTCATAGTCACCTAGATGGGAGTTCAATCAAAGGGAAGTTTGGAAATCCACTTCCCCAGCTTAGCTTCCAGGCAATAGCAACAAATAAACTGTTTCTCTCATAGTCAACCTAGATGGGAGTTCAATCAAAGGGGAAGTTTGGAAATCCACTCTCCCAGAACTAGATTAGCTTCCCAGGCAATAGCAGCAATAAACTGTTTCTCTCAATCAACCTAGATTTCTCTCTCATAGTCAACCTAGGTTTGAGTTCAATCAAAGGGGGAAGTTTCCCAGGCAATAGCAGCAAATAAACTGTTTCTCTCATCGTCAACCCTAGATGGGAGTTCAATCAAGGGAAGTTGAAATCCTCTCCCAGAACTAGATTAGCTTCCCAGGCAATAGCAACAAATAAAGTTTCTCTCATAGTCAACCCAATGGGAGTTCAATCAGAAGTTTGGAATCCTCCTCCCAGAAGTTCAATAGATTAGCTTCCCAGGCAATAGCAGCAAATAAAGTTTCTCTCATAGTCAATAAACTTTTCTCTCCCATAGTAGCAGAAAATAAACCCTAGACAGAAGTTTAATCAAGAAAGTGGATCTTGGCAAACCACTCTCCTATTACTACTTTACCTGACTAACCATCAACAGTAAAAAGCTGTTTCTCTCATAGTCAACCCTGACAGATGCATAAATATACATATATTTAATGAACAGGTATGATGGATGGATGTTTGATTTTCAAAGTATCAAAATTTACAGTTAAGTGGTTTGGATGCATTATAGTAAGCAGCCCTAAAAATCCATTTGTAAAATCTTAGCAGTTGGCAATGTGATATTTCAATAAAAATCATCTTGAGTAAATGAAAATATCTATCAAACCGTAGCACTTGTACTTCCAAGCCCAAAGCATTAACTCTTCTGCAATCACCTTGGAGGCATCCTGAAATGAAATACTGCAATTCTGGATAAAAATTCTTGCTTACCATCTTTGCTGGGCCTGCCAGCAATTTACCTACAAGGCCTCTCCATCTGTTTTCATTGCATTTATGCAAATCTTGCATTTGTGGTTAATTTTATTTGAATGAAGCTTTGCATGTTGCAGTAGCTGAGAAGGAACCAACTCTTAGTTTTTTATCCTGAATTTACCTCCCACGAATAAATTAATTTGAATCATCCGGTTGTTAGTCGACTCAAGTTTGGGGAAAGAAATATTTCGATTGGGCTTTTCTCTCAGGCTAAAAAGAATTTGTGAAAACTTGTTTCACTTGTGTCAGCCATTTTTTTGTTTGGAAAAAAATGACAAGTCTTAATCATATTCATCTTGTTGGAAATAATAAATTTCCATATAGAAATTTTGAACTGCCAAAAAGGTTCATTTGTTCAAGCATGTAACACAAATATATATATATATATATATATATATATATATATATATATATATATATGTATATACAAGGTGTCACCCAAAAGTTCTAGAAATTTGAAACAATTCATCTGTCCAAATATCTGATGTTTCCTGTTTGTTTTCCTTTATTGTCTGTGAATTGGTATGACATATTGTGAAAGATAGTGGAGTGGTTTTTATATGGTTTTGAATTCAGGGATTTTCTTCTTCTTCTAAGCTGGTTGCCACTCAAGACTAGAGAGCCTAGGCTATCCTGCTATTTCACCCATAGAAAAGCATTACAGAGAAAGTATAGGCAAATGATTAAACCAGAACTTGGCCCAATGATTCCACTTTTCTGTGCCATTAACAGTTCTACTGCAATTCAAGCTCCAGCCACATAAACAGTTTTGAATTTCAAATGTTCATGGGGCCTTGCGGATGATGAATTGTTTTCCACTCTTAAACTCTTTCCAACAGACACATTGCTAGACTCTTCCTACTCTAGTGCGAATGATCAGACGGACTACAATCCTTATCTACCTGTTCAGACCTTCACTGCTAGGACCTGTCATGTCACATACACAGCCTGAACACATCCTCATTCCCTTTGTATTTCATTGGTAACAAGAAAGACAGCTTCTTCTCCAGAACTGTTAATTTGTAGAACAGACTCCTGAGAGGATGCTTCCCTGATCACTACAATCTTCTTCAAGTCTAAGGTTAACCATTATCTAATGTACATATCCCCATATATACTTCTTACTGTCTCTCTTTACAACCTCATTCAGTAATTCTCTATATTGAGTGGCTCTTTAGTTTTGAATTGGTTGACTAATCTATCTATAAAATTCTGTGACTTCTGTTAGTCTGTTCATCTGTCACACCCTCTAAAATAGTCAAACATTGACTGATTGAAACTAAATTTTGGGGAGAAGTGCAAAAGCGGGTGCAAAGTACAGTTGGTTTTACTAGGTTGCATTGCTTAGTACAATAAATTTTTAAGTCATTCTTTTGGAAAAGTTAAAAGTTTTACTATTTGACATACAAAATAATCCCACTATTTTTAAAATGATTTGGTGATTAGAATAACAAATACTTATATAATAAAAATGCTATATTATTTCTTGCATATCTTTAAGTTTTTATATATACAAGAATCTAGTTTCCAGTTTGTCCTGTATTTGCAAGAACTACAAACACTTCAAAAAGTTGGAATTTGCATTCAGAAAAAAATATTTATGCATAGACAGTTGTATGTTGCATGCTTAAGAGTAAAAAATAAGAAGAATTTATTCTTCGCTGTTAAAAAGGAAAAAAAGAAGTTTTCTTAAAAAATATTGTTTACCATGAAGTCCTATAAAATTAAAGGAATTATTAAACAGTGCAGCAGAGATTTTGTCAAAGTATTTTTCCAAACAAATCAGTTTGTTCAAAGTTCATTTACAAAATTTGGTTTTTGTTTACAAAATTGAATGAAAGGTAGAGTTTATAAATCTCAACAAAAATGTTAACTTCAACAATACTAAATACTGTGAGGATTTCAATGCACAAATGTTACAAAAAAATTTGAGTAATATTAAAAAAAATTCTAGTAATATTAAGAAAAAGCAAAAATGCTAATACCAAAGCTACCTTCATCTTTTCTGAATCTATGAACATGATTTTATTTGTCTCTTTTATGACAGATTCCTTGTGCTTGTAGTGAGTATCATTCTAACTGGTATAACATACTTGTGATAGCGTTATACAAGACGAACCTATGTTTACTAATAGATTTTACTCTTGTCTTTACTGTGGCTATAACATTTTCACCAGAGCTGATTTAGATTCCATAGATAGGTGTGAAAAAAAATCAACCAATACTATAGAAAATACTGGATTTAGATAAAAAACAGCTTTGATAAGCACCTAAAACTGGCACATTAACATGTAATCTCTCATCCACAAATAGATGGGATTTGACTGCTATTTAAATTTTGATTTTTTTCCAATCTAAACTCTACTATTCCAGACTAACCATTTATTTTATTTTCCATTGCTTATTTCAACCACCTCATTTCGTTCTGAAAACAAAATAATTTTGAATTTTCAAACCTACCTTATTATTCCAACCTACCCTTCTATTCTGGGCTTAGAGTAGGTCATGATTGTGGTGAGCACAATGAGAGGAAAAAGTTGGGAGTTTGGGTTGCTCTAAGCACCCCCAGTAGTATTGAAATGAGAGACACCAATCTGGTTATCAGCCTACTCACTTGGCAGCACCAGACTACAGATGTGTGTGTGTGTGTGTATATTTGTGTGAATGTTTGTGTTTGCATGTGTGTTTGTGTGTGTGTGTATGTGGTGGTGGTGGGGGGAATCAGTTTATTTCAGCAAATACTCACTAATGTTTCACTGCCTGAAAATCTGAGAAATCTACAGTTTTATGTCAATGAAACGAAAACTTCTAAAAGAGCAAGTTTTATTTCATTAGAAGGATAACAATTCCATTACCATATCAGTTTTGGCACAAGGACAAATGTCTAGAGTATTTCCTCTCTATTCCTTGTAGGATTACTTCTACAAGTGTTCCCATAAAAAGAGTGTGTGGATGCTGGTGCAGAATGTTGGTTTTTGCATTCATAATGAATGAATGCTGAGCAAATGTTGTTTTGGAAGGTATATTTCCTGTTTTATACAAATACAAACTTGAGTTCATAGCTCACAGTATGTTGAAGAGAGAGAGAGAGAGAGAGAGAGAGAGAGAGAGAGAGAGAGAGATATACCTCTCCCTCTTTGTTGCAGGCAGAGATTCTGATTAGTTCTTTGGTGGTTAGAGGAGTGGATCAGCCTGTTCTGCTTTCAGAGACCTGACCTTGAAGCCGTCTTTTTCTTGGTTTATAGTGAGTTTGGTAATGGGTAAGGGAGTGTGTTGAGTGCGATTAGGATTGTCCTTTGATTTGGTACAGTGTCTTTGATCATTTGTTTTACTTATCCAAGTATCTTGTTTCAGAAATAAACTTAGCTGATTGACCTGCCCTTAAGCATGCTGGTGTTAATGAGGTGTTAGGAAGATAAGTAGGTGATACTTTTCAAGAGATTTAAGTAATATTTTTACATTATTTATTTTATTTAATAAACTTAGCTTACTACTACAATTGTACTGAAGAAAATGGTGACATAACTCGAAGGCCAAACTGTTTTTGTGTTGCATGTTGTCTTTGTAGGAAAAAATAAATAAATAAAATATACTCATTTGGGCCTTTTGGTCTAATGTTTTCAGCTGACATGAAGTGAAAAGACTATATTGAATCCATTGCTAGGTCAGCTGCTAAGAAAGTCAGTTCACTGTGTCATGCTAGACAATTTTTCTCTCCAGAATCTATCTTACATATCGATGCCTTCCATTCATCTATGCTTAGAATATCAGTGGCCCTGCTATTTACCTTGAGCTCCTAGATAAGATCCAAAAAAGAATCACCAATATTATAGGTCCTGATCTGACAGCTCAGTTTCAATTACTTATCCATTGCTGTAAATTTGCCTCCTCATGCCTTTTTTATAAATCCTTTCATGGTAATTGTTCGGATGAGCTCTTCACTATGGTACCTAGACTTTATGAATTTAAGTGCAGTACTAAGATCTCATCAATTCACAGGTGAGCTGGCTAGATGTAACTGTAAGATCTATACTAACAGTTTCTTTTCTCATACTTCTGGCTTGTGGAGCTCCCTTCTGGCTTCATGCTTTCCAGACAACTTTAATCTGCAAAAATTTAAATGCAATGTCAATCACTATCTACTGTCTTTGATTATTCTTTTCTCTCTCTGCTCATTACTAATGTTTCTGTTCCTAATTCTACCACACCCTGTAACCCCTTGCATTTTAGTGGCTTTAATGCTTTGCTTGGGGTGATACCGATTAAAAAAAAATATCTCTCTACTGGATTAGGTCAATTTCATTTTACTTCTAGCCAATCACAGCGCAAACGTGCAAGCAGCACTGGATGAATGGACCACTGTAGAGAACACATGCTAATCCATTTCATTGCTCCACAAATGGAAAAACTTGGTGGAGTGGGGGCAGTGAACTGTTTTAAAAACTGCTGACTTTTCTTCAATGTTACCTTACCGGATTTCCCTGTATGCTAAGACGTTACAAAATGTAAGACGCATTCTATAATTAGCTAGGTAAGTATGTACCTGGTCTCCCCACTAAAGGCAGGATTTAACACGAGGCTGTTTTTATATAGGGAGCCCATGCACATATGTATGCATATGGATAAAGAATAAAAACTGTCCAGCCCTTGCAATCACTGTCACGCAGGGCATCAATATTTCACAGACCCCTGCTTCTCTTAGTGTAATGAGGAAAGTATTGCTTCAGAGTTGGAATCCCTGGAACAGGGGTAATTGGCTGGGTATTTTTTGAAAAAATATATTTGAAGATTTAGGTTTACCGTACTAGTGAGTCCAAATCACTGACTCTACACTGTCATCCTCCTTTCTGTCACAATAAATTATCACATTTATTAAAATTATTAAATATTTGTGGTTATTATTAATTAGATTTTGTTTTAGTGCAATATATATCTGTTCACATCAGAAACAGCTCGTCTGTTTTGATGATGGTAGTTGGCTTTGTCTACTTGCAAGTGGCGTCGGTGAGGCATCATCACCATAAATCAGTGGTTCCCAAATGGTAAAGCATGCCTCATAGGTGCAGTAGAAGAGGATAGCAGGTGAGGTGGAATGGTTGAAAGACAATCAAAGATTTAGAGAAAGTTTTAAAAAATTCATATGCCAAATATAAATAGGATTTCAAAATTTCAAATATTATAATGGATTACATATAATTGCATGCATGAGTCCCAGTATAAATAGTTATAAATAATTATTTTATCATTTAAAATTTTTGCATTATACCAAGTATTAAGAATATGGTAACTAGGGTCTGCAAATTATAGGAGAGAGTTATCAATGATAATGTTCTGACTTTGAATCTAAAGTTATTTCACTTTAACTGTCTCTCTGTTTTTTATTTTCAAATTAACTTTTTATCGCATAACATTTGGTGAGGTGCAAGCTAATTTTAATTCCGAAAATGTGGCTCAGAGAAAAAGGTTTGGGAAACACTGCCATAAACAAAAAATGGCAGACAATAGGTACTGGGAATGGACAGTATATTTGGAATTAATGGTAGGCCTGTTGACTGGTTTGTTTCAATAGTACACAAAGTGTGGTAACGAGGCTGGTATTCTTGGTGTACATATGAAATGTAACTGTCAGCTTGTATTACATATCTGAGATTCAGAATTGTGAACATACTGTATGGTATGCTTAGATGAACGAAAGACTCACAGTACCAGCAGGAAGCTGTCTACTGGTTATCATCAATACTAAAAACAAAATAAAAAATGAAAACAAACAATATATATGTTATGATACTAATGGGATATATGGTATTTATTATGAATGATAATTTTTTGGGGTTATGTTATAGGTCTGGGGTTTGTGAGGGTTGGCAAACTATTCTCTACAACTTGACTTTTCAGTGCCAAGACACTGGGTGATTATTGGCGGGTATTTTTCAGGGAAAATTAGTCTTAGCATATGGGAAATATGGTAGTACTAAACTGTCTAGACCCAAGGTGGCTGCAAGGGAGTAACATTTTTAGAAATTCATTTCATCCTTTTACAGAGAGAAAAGATTCACAAATTTTAAAATCATCCAAATGTGAACTTCTCCATCTTGAAGAAAATTTCTAGAAATTGTAATGGTAGCTTTTATATTTCAGACTTAAAGACATACAGGGTTATACAAAGACAAACACACACAGAGAAGATGTTTCTTTTCACATTAGATAAACACACTCAAATGTTTACAAATCTTGTAGCTTAAAACTCATATCTTAGTTTCTGTAGCTGTATATTTTGTTCCATGTGTCTTCATTTTTTGCTGCTTTTGTTTTGGAGTCTCCAAGGCCAGCTACAAGTAACCCAGTTTTTTTTTCCCTTCTTGTATTGTCTACCAAAGAAGGAAAAACCTTCTCTTGTGACACAAAACCAAAACTATCAGCCATTTAAGGATTTCTTCTTGTTGTTCAAAATGCTTTCTGTGACTAACAGTCTGTTAATTTCCGTTTGGGTGGATAATATTAGAACTGTGTCACAAAATCTGTTAGGTTTAGCCAGTTTTCCAAGCAAAGAAGGAAGGTCTGTTTACCTGTTTAGAAAGTTAGAATTTGACATCATATGTTTAACTGGGATTTGAACTCTGGTATTTGTCGGAGTTACATACACACTGAATAAAATATTTATTTTTTACAGTAAGGTTAACCCCGTACAAAGCCTGGGGGTACTCGAGGTAGAAGGTTACGATAGGAGGCAGTTTGTACAGATAGGAGTGGAAGATAATGGTTAACCCTAAACATGAACAGGTTAATTTTTTTTTACAGTAAGGTTTACCTTTTACAAGGCCTGGGGGCCACTTGAGGTAGAGTAGCACATTAGGAGGTAGTTTGTATGGATAGTAGGAGAAGATAATGGGTTAACCCTAGCCTTGATTAAGATTATAGTGATCAGGAAAAACATCATTTTGGGAGTCAGTTCCACAGAGCAGTTCGAGTGGAACTTACTTCTTGCCGATGGAATACAGAGAGAATTGTGGGTGGTTTGCTACTAGGTAAATGACATGGCGGGTGTTAGCTGTGAAGGTTTGAACTGGTGGAACCAAGGAATGTAGTTCGTAATATGAGATTCAAACTTATTCTCTCATTAAAAGCTATGATGATACTTTATTACATGTGTATGTGTATGTGTGTGTGTGTGTTCATGCGCTTGTGTGTGTGTCTGTGTAAAGGGTGCGTCGGGTATTTGAGAACACATCTTTAGAAAGCCATGAGTGACCAATTTCAACTAAAGATCTTGTCTCTTTTTGTTTTCAAAACCACAATAGAATCTTTGACTTAGGAGATGCAAACGAGTGCTGTTCATGTTGCTTTAGTTGCCAACCACATTGATTCGGAGATTGCAGCCTCCTTAAATGTCTTCAGGTCCTTTCTAACCACCATAGAGAAACCTTTTTTGTCTGCAATCAGCATGGCTGATGCTAGATTCCTAAAGAACAACACTTCTTGAGTCTTCTTGGCCTCACATTTTCAACGGACTTAAAGTGGAGAAACTACATCAAACCGAGAGCGGCATCTACTGCAAGGAAAGTTGGGTCACTGTATCGTACCAGAAAATCTTTCTCATCAGAGTTCATCTTACACATTTACAAATCTACTATTCATCTGTGCATTGAATACTGCTACCATATCTGGTCTGGTGCTCCTGCTATTCATTACAAGGTTCTTCACAAAACCAAAGACTGATCTGTAATGTAACCGTTCCTGACTTGGCATCTTGATTTCAGTCACTTTATCACCAACGTGGCATGGCTTCCCTCTGTCTCTTCTACAAATATTTTCATGGTAACTGTTTTGACAAGTTTTTTCCCTGGTGTCCCAACTATGTGAATTTAATCATGCTATTAGATTGGCATCTAGGTTCTACCTGTTTACTGTTGAAATAGCTAAATGCAGCCGTCATTTCTACTCCAACAGTTTCTTTTCTCGCAGTGCCCACACGTGGAAATCCCTTCCGTTTAATTGCTTCACTGACAACTACAATCAAAAATTTAAATGCAATGCCAATTGCAATCTTCTACCTTCTTGAATCCTGTTCATCTTTTGTCCTTTCCTCAATCTTCTCTCACTTTCACACCCTGTAACCCTCTGCATACTAGTGACATTTTCGCCTTGCTTGGGGTGAAAAGATTAAAAAAAAAGAAAGATCTCCAGCCCTCTGGTAAGACTGTGTCTTCAGTTAACAAAAGTAAAAAAAAAACAAGACATTTTCAACATTGTCAGTAATGTCGAGTTTGTCCAGCAAGTATCATTGACGAGAATCCCGGAAAATCATTGCCGATCAGCTCCATGTTTCAGTCAACAATCAAACATGTGATGCATGAAGATATCAGATATGAATCCAATGTTAAGAAGAGGCGGGGGGGGGGTAATTTTTTAATTTAGAATTTTTATCCGAATTTATGTAATCAGGAGTTATTATTTATATGCTGACTACTGAATGTGACTTGAATAACGTGGTGGAAAAATGTCTTTTTTCGCACTTCTCGCCTGTGGAATTCTCTTCCTGTTTCATGCTTCCCTACCATCTACAATCTTCAAGAATTTAAAGGCAACGCCAATCGTCATCTGTCTTCCTGAATCCTGTTCTTTTATTGTCTTTTCTCTTCACTTCTCTTTACTAAAGTTTTCTCATTCTTTTTCATTGCCAGTGACCCATTGCATCCTAGTGGCATTATCGCCTCACCTGGGGTAAAAATGATTAAAAGAAAATAAAAAAAAATATACAGAGGAAAGCCGTGTAATCCTGTTGAAGTGCTTGGTAAACAAAATCAAACATTTTCACAATCATGTTACCCTTAACATTTGACTTCCTAATTTTTTAACCTATCTGCTATTATGTCTAGGACGTTGTTGAAAGGGAGACAAACAAGTATTCCTGAGATACCAAGATCTTGCTGAAGGCTGCTACTAAGGACATCATAGCCAAAACACGAACAGAGAACATCTGATCAAGGCATGTAATCGTTTTAGAAGGCCATAATTCAAGCTGATTGTGGTTATACTGAATAAAGTTATCTGTTGTGTATGTAAGAACGTGTATTAAATCTTGAAAAAATCGTTTTTTCTGCCAAATGATTATTTCAATTTTAAATCTGTTCTCAACTACCTGACCCACACTTTATGTGTGTGTGTATGTGTGTGTGAGTGTGTTCATGTACTGTGTGTGTATACTTATATTTGTATTTCTTCTCGTGCAGATACAATTTTAGTCTTATATAATCAGTGAATGATTCTAGACTAAAAAAAATCTTGTTTGTTTTTCTTTCTTTTTATGCGCTTGTTTTGCCATATTTCCCCCCCTGAGATATGGTGTTCAAGTGTTCAACAAATAATCTCTACAGTCTCGTCCTTTTCGTCTTGCATTTGTTTCTATCAATCTTCATATTAAATGCAAGAAACATGTGGGGAAAATCTAAAATCATGTAGTAACACAACAGCAATCATTGTTGGTTAGAGGCGTTTACATGAAATAATCATTTTTTTCCAAATTTTTTTTTTCAGATTATTCTTATCATTACTTTAGATCATTAAAAATGAAAAAGTCTAATTTTCTGAATATTAACTGAAGGCGGAGGTTCAGTTTGCTCGATAAATTAATTAATTGTGAAAATTGATCTCTGTAAGTCCAAAACAATAAAGATAAGTAAGGATAATAATAATAATAATAATAATAATAATAATAACAACAACAACGATGATGATGATGATGATGATGATGATGATGATATTTTCTATATACAAGGACTTGGAAATCGAGATTAAGGAGAATGTGGGGAATGAAGACTTGAGACCAATAGTAATCAGAGGTTTGGGTCTCGTAAGAATAAGAATGTTCAATATGTCCCAGGTAACATCAACATTCAACATACAAGTTACCCAGAAAATCGACTTAATAGGAACATCCCAAATACTAAGAAAAGTGCTATCAATTAAATAACTATTAATTCTCCTATAGAGCCTAAGGGTCATAGTTTGGCTCGGCTCTACAGGAAACAAAGCAGGGCACATAACATACAAACAATAAAAAAAGGGAAAAGGTAAGTAAGAATACTTTTTAAATTCAAATTTCACAGATGTTTTTGAAATTGTTTAAGATGTATTTAACGCAACACAGGAAAAGTGAAAATTAAATAAGAATATGCTTTAGAAAATAATGCAAATATTTTTTTTTTAACTTGAAAATTATTTGGAATTTTGTAAGGTAAGTAAGAAAATGCTTTATCACGTGGTATGAGCATTTTTTATTTTACTTACATCGGGGGGTGAATTTACAATGTATTTAATTTATATATCTTACGAACGCCCCTCTCAAAATTTTGAAAAAGAAAATAAATATATATTTTCATTAATATTTATAATCTCTGTTGTTTAATTGTAGTATAAAAAGAATTTTATGAAAAAAATTATTATTCCTGGGAGAACTGCGTATCTGTAGAAGAGGTAGGATATGATTTAATTTATTTTAGTTTTTAGTGAAATCAAAATTCTAGACAAATCAACAGTTTTAAATACAGTCAGTGAAATTAATGGAAATCATATCATTTTGATCATATGCTCTAAGAACAAGGCATGACCCTAATCTTCCCTATCATTTACTTTGTTCCCAGTCATCTCAGTTATGTACTTGCAGCTGGATGACAAAATATGGTTGAAATGCTTATAGAAATTTCTTGCTTCATAATATTCTGGAAATTCATTTAGGAAGGAATAGGAGTAAGCATAAATGGAGACTATTTGAACCATCAATGATTTATTAATGACATTTTATTAATATCAGTCATAGGATCACTTACGATAAACGCCTAAAAATCTGAATACAGAAAGTCACAATGTAACGTTAAATATGAATAGAAATAGAACACAAGTTAAATTTGGTTGTAAAGTCCAAGAACAATCGTTAAAGTAGCGGACGAAGATCTGAATGAGATTCTGGAATACAACTACTTAGGCCGAGGTCTATTGGAGGAAGGTAACAAAATAAAACTATATATCTCAAGACTGTGTATATCGGCAAATCTAACGTATGAGTGGGAATCGAGACAATTAAGAAACAAACTTAAAATCAACTCCCAACAGACCGAAATAGATAGATAGATAGATAGATAGATAGATAGATATGAACAGCATGAGATAGATAGATAGATAGAAGTGAACAGCATATGATAGATAAAAGTGAGATAGATAGATAGATAGATAGACAGACAGACAGATAGATATGAAGAAACGGAAATAGTGAGATAGATATAAACAGACTAAAAAGATAGATAGATAGATAGATAGATAGATAGATAGATAGAAACAAACTGAAACAGATAGATTTGGAGAAACAAAAATAGATAGAGAAAAACATAGATACAAACATGCATATGAAGAAATTGCGATAGATAGATAGATAGATAGATAGACAGATAGATAGATAGATAGATGAATTTCTTCATTAGTTTATAAATCTTGCCTGTTCTAATCACCTTCACTATAATTTCTTCCGTTCCATAATTTCCTTCCCCGACTGAAGCTCCCTAGCCGTGACATGGGCGTTTCCCTCCTATTTCCCCTTGCTTCAAAGCAGAGATGATGATAGATATTTGACCGTGAGTCAAAGCAATAAGCTAATAGTTTCGCCTGTCAGTTTTCTTCAGTAGACCCTCTGGTCTATTATATCAGAACTACCGTTGACGAGGAAGAAGAAGAAGAAAGATAGGGTAGATAGTGGGTGATAAGAGTGAGGGCAGTTACCACTTCCACCCTTCCTTCTAACTCTGTAACTACGGGATTTTTCTTTTCTTTTTTTTTTCTTTTTTACCCGAATCGTTCTAATATGACTTATCTATGGACAAGTGTTGAAAGAGCAGAGATTTAAACAACTATGTCAGCAATGAATTAAAAAAAAAAAGAAAAAGGTTCTTGCCCCGACTCACACGAAAACACGTTTTATGAGGGGCACATGTTGAGGCTCATCTGTTAAAGCCGTTGGTTGGTGTTATTTCATTGGTATTCATTTAGTTTGGCATAAACGCAGGACTTTTCTCTTTTGATTGAGCTGTTTGAAATGAATTTGGGGACAATACTGATAGATTTAAAATAAAAACTGATAGATTTAAACTTGTGGACGCAGATAAAAGTTTAATCAAATAATAATAATAATAATACAATTTTGGCTCTCATGGCTTCTGATCCTAATTAATTGGAAGGGCTAACAATTAACATATATAGTCTTGATAAATTAAGATGGCTACAGTAAATAACTCGTTCCGTACTGATTCCGTTCTGATTGCCAGTTGCCTGAACTTACCAGTTGGGTATCCCCCTAGTGGCTGATAGATAGATAGATAGATAGATAGATAGATAGATAGATAGATAGATAGATTTATGAACAGACTGAGAACAATCGTTAAAGTAGCGGACGAAGATCTGAATGAGATTCTGGAATACAACTACTTAGGCCGAGGTCTATTGGAGGAAAGTAACGAAATAAAACTATATATCTCAAGACTGTGTATATCGGCAAATCTAACGTATGAGTGGGAATCGAGAAAATTAAGAAACAAACTTAAAATCAACTCCCAACAGACCGAAATAGATAGATAGATAGATAGATAGATAGATAGATAGATAGATATGAACAGGGGCATCTCGAGGTGGTGTATTGGTTAGCAAGCTTGTCTGGCTAGAACAATTACGACTGAGTAGTGAGTTCGATCCTCACTGGGTGCCCCACACTTTCGGCCTTGTGCCACATCTAAGCTACGCTTGGAAAATCACTAGATAGATATGAACAGCATGAGATAGATAGATAGATAGATAGATATGAACAGCATGAGATAGATAGATAGATAGATATAAACGACATGACATAGAGATAATGAACAGACGGAGAAAGAAAGAAAGAAAGAAAGAAGAAAAGAAAGAAAAATCAGTGCGATAAAATGTAGAATAGACAGAAAGTGTGAGAGAGATAGAGATAGAGAGTGAGAGTGGTGAGGAATAAAAAATGAATTTATATTTTAATTGAATAACTGCTAGAAAAAAGAAAATATGGAAAAAAAAACAGAGGAATATTTGGGGTTGGATAGACAATAAAATGAACTGTAAAATATTATAAAACAGAGAGAGAGAGAGAGAGAGAGAGAGAGAGAGAGAGAGAGAGAGAGAGAGAGAGAGAGTTAGTCTCAGCCGAAGTCTCAACTCGAAGACGAACGTAAATCAAAAGTGGAAATGTCCGCCGGCAATGCTAGCAAATGTAATGTCAGATGTTATGGTGTAATATTTCAGCAAGAACAGGAAAAAAGGGCACCCAAAATCATATCATGGGGGTCAGCAACGTCCTAATTTATTTTAGGCATTTTCTTTTAAACTTTGGGGTGAGCAGGAGTGGAGTGACAGTTGGCAGACCCCACAAGACTTTTGATTATAAACATTTTGTCTGAAGCAAAAACACTTTTAATGATAATCATCATGATGCAATAATAATAATAATAATAATAACTAACAGTACCCGTGAAATTTTCATGGATTTCCAATTTGAATTTTTTGATGTATCATAATTTTTAATTCACTGATCGAATATATTCCTGGTGAGTTCAACGTCTGTACCCGTTGAAATTCCCTATTGCTTCTTTAAGTATTTGAGCTAAACAACTTTAACAAAATATTGCATTAACAATCAAAAGTATGAATGTAGGTCATTATTTATAGAAGTAAGAGGGTACAAATTAAAATATTAAAAATTAACAAGGTTTTTTCCATTTCACTGTAACATACGTTAAAGGTTTGAGAGTGTTATCGCCACCTCTCTCTTTCTTTCTTTCTTTCTTATTAAAGTATGCTTTCTTTTCCTCTCTAAAACCAAACAGCATGTTTGATATATATTTTTCTTCCATCTTTCATCGTAATCAAAACGGAATTGCTCATTATTTATCTTAAACAATGGCAGGTCGCTAACTAACTTATTAACTAACGTAGGGACAAACAGAACAACAACTATAACAGTCTGTCCTCTTTATTACTAGCGTGTTAGGAACAGTAATGAACACCCTTTCAAAGCGATTGAATGCATATGAAATTCAATAAAAAATTGTAACTATGCAGACGGCAGCATTTCTAAGAGCAGCGAGAATGCTTAAGATAATATTGAACTATTGGAAGACTTGATGTCACATCATTTCCAATGGAAGCTACCAATTTACTTTTGATGGAGAAAAAAAAAACAAACTAACGAATACCAAAAGATTATCAGGAAAAAGTTTAAAAAAAAATCCAATAGCGTGGACTTTTGACATTAAAACGGAGAATCGCATCCAAGCGAGAAAACCAGAACTGCAGATCGTGGACGTGCCGATGTACCACCGGGACAAAGTTATTAGAAAAATGCTAGGACCTTGCTCGAAAACTACGAAAGGTATAGGATAGAACGTTTAGGAGTAGGCCTACAATAAACTTACGTAAAACTGTGCCCAAACCACTGGAATCGAGAATTAATTAGAAATTCTAGGAACGGCTAAAGCTGTATAGACTACGGCGCTGCTGGAATCTGTAATGATACTGAGGGAAGTGCTGGAGATTTGAAGATACTTGCTGTCACACAAAAGCTTCAGCAGTTATCACCAAACATATGGTGTGCCCATGCAAATGAATGAATAATAACAATAATAATAATAAAACCATATAATAATTATCAATATATATTTATATATTTCCTGCCCCATCTATATTGGGAAGGGAAGTAAATCAATTTAAGTTAGTAAATTTATGAGTGATTACTTCTCTTAGCCGTTTAAATAATCTGTGCAAATAAAATGTTTATTTACAATTAGACAAAATTATTTCCCGAGTAAAATGAACCGTTTAATTAATCAGTTCCTTTACTCCTACGTTTCTTATATTGTAGTCTTATTTGTTCAAGCCTTTCATGTGAGGCACTCAGATACCTTTGTCTACGAAGTATTCGTCTGGCTTCAACTTGATCTTCAAATACGCTTTGTCGTCGCCGTCTTTGTCGTTCTGTTGCTAATCTTTGTCTTCCGATCGAAATTTCCATTTCAGTGTTATATTAACCACATAAAATTTTTAGCATGAAAAGATATTGAACAAAGAGCGATTTATATAATACCAGAAGTAATCAATGAATGATTGACACCATTGAACGGCTACAAAATATAAAGCGAACGGATTAATTAAAGTTTCATAGGCCTCTATTTTAGTCACGAGTTCTTTACTGAATCTCAATAGATTGTTTCAAGACTTTTGTTTCATTGCATCACACCATTTAAACTTTCTAACAATTGCTGTCTTTTTTTTTACAGCACGGGTATACTAGTAATAATAATTGTGTTGGTGAATTAAGATAATCTACATTAAATATCCCGTTCAGTGCCACAGATTTGCTAGTAAGTTGCCTAACCATAACACACTGTGCATCTCTGGTCATGTACGGGAGATGCGGGGGAGCATTATGGCTGGTGTCGGAAGGTTGGTTTTTTTTTTTTAAGTTTGAAAGACGAGGCAGCCAATGTGACTTGGTAGTCACATCTTGATACTTGGGAATACTCTCAATGGAAGACCGTCTGAGAGGACTGAGTTACCCGGACTGAAAGCATTTCTGGTTCCCACCTGCTGCTTTTATCAAAATCGGTTACCATATGGTGCACATTTACCCGTGATGCATATGTCTGGCGTACCCTTATCAGACTGGGTGTCATGAAGGATATATTGGGATACGTATATTTGTACCTCAGCGTCACGTTGTTGAAGTGCAGCTCTATCACGCAATAGTAATAATAATTTATTATCATTGGCATGGTAGTCCCAGCAGATTGTAATGTATCTTTGATGATCTTCAAAAAACTATCAAAATACAAGGATCTTGAAGTGAAAATCTAAAAAATGAGGCACATGAGGACATCAATTTCCATTTGGAGTTGAAGCCCTCAGAGTCAGTGGAAAATGTGTTGATAAACTCATTGAAGGTACTCCTGGTAGTCCATGCCTTAAAGAAATACAAACAATTGTACTCACAAGTAAAGCTCACACATTATGAAGAGCTTTATCTATGTAAAATGTGTTATCGTAGTTTTTTTTTTATTTTTATAAAAATGATCAGTGGAAAATGTCATGAAGCCATTTCTGACCTTAGGTCTCTAGTTGGGACCCGGAAGTAAATGTGCATGCAACATAAATCATAGGAAATAATAATAATAATAATAATAATAATAATAATAATAAATATGCAGGACCTGTGGAAAATATAATGAAACTGTTGACCATTATCTCAGGATATCTGGAACTAGCAAAAAATGAATATAGCCACAGGCATAAAAGGCTAGCGACATATGTACATTGGTTAGATATGCAAAAAGCACAAAATCGAAACCACCGAGAGATGGTATGAGAATTAACCAGACACAATTACTCAAAATAACGATGTAACTATCCTCTGGGACCTGCCAATTCAAACTGACAGGGAAATAAAAGCCAACAGACCTGATATTGTCATAAAAGTCAAGAAATTCCGGAAGTGTATGCTTATTGACATAGCAGTACCATCTGAGAGAAAAAACCCATAAATATTATCGAGAAATTGTCTAAATACAAGGACCAGGTGATCGAGATTAACAGGATATGGGGAATGAAGACCGACAGTACCAATAGTAACTGGAGCTCTAGGCCTCATGAGAAAATGAATGGGCAATTTTACAAACAGTATCCCAGGTAACATCAACATACAAGTTGCCCGGAAAATCGCTCGACTAGGAATATCCCATATACAGTGTAAACCGGATATAAAAGAGTTGTCGGATTATATCCGGGTTTCTCTTATATCCGGGTTTGGTCTATTTTGTTTAGGTAAGTATGGAAACAATTTGGGACCAGAGAAAATCTCTCTTATATCCGGGTTTCTCTTATATCAGGGTTTCTTATATCCGGGTTACACTGTACTAAGAAAAGTACTATCAATTAAATTGCAATTCTCCCATAGGGTCTAAGGACCATAGTTTGGACTCGGCTCTGCAGGATACAAAGCAGGAAACATAACATCTACAAATAATAATAATAATAATAATGGCTAGTATGCCCTTATCAGATTGGGTGTCATTATAAGTATACTGAGATTTGTATATTTGTACTTCAGCGTCACTTTGTTGGTACCCTGCTTTCTCACTAACTCAAAATTAGTTGGTTATTCTTAATTTTTGTTTTTTAAGCATTTACATGTTTGTCCTCGATTGGCTTTGAAGAGTGCCTCTTTTTTTCTTTTTTTTTTAACATTTTCTTGTTTTTACTGTTGGTATTGTTTCGACTCAACTCTTTACGGTAATTTATCTTATTACCCCCTCCTCTCCAGCCCTCTGTTTTGTTTTGTTTTTTTTTTTTTTTTTTTTTGTATACAATTTAAGGTGATCGTTTTTATAGCATTAAATAATAATAATAATAGTAATATTAATAATAATTCTTGATAGATGTCTCAGACCCAACCGACAAAGACTTACTCTCTGAAAACATTTGTAAAACTAAGCCAATGCCAAGACCTTGAAATAAAAACTGTTAGAGTGTGACATCTCAGAGCAATCACGCTACCAGTAGACATTGGAGTGCTGGGATTGTTGTCGAAAGATGCAAGCAAATATGTAACCCACATTTCTGGCAGTCCCAAAACAAGTGAATTATGAAAACTCACATTCATGGGTATCTCATGAATTGCGTTTCAGGGATTTCTTGGAACTGTAAACATGGAAATTTAACACACACACACACACACACACACACACACACACACACACACACACACACACATATATATATATATATAGGTACCTCCACAAAAGAAAGCTAAAGGATTAAATTTACTATTTCCAGTATGCAAAATACTATGCTGTATTTCAAACAGAAATTATATTGATTGAAATCGATTTTCATTTTTTCAGTAACATCGTCGAAGTCGTTTATTTTTTTTTATATATTTGTAAACACAATTTAGTTCTCATGTTTAAAAATCTTGCAAAAATAAAATATAGTTTTCTGAAACTTTATTTGAGGAATATTTGCTGATTTAAAGCATAATTAATTTCATTTGAAACAAATATTATTTTCTTTAAATTTAAAATATCGCAGAAATGATTTTTTTTAAACAAACAGTAGCTTGTGTTTACGTATTTGACGAGGTGATGGCAGATTTAATGTTGTTCTACGGAGACTTAATCTGTAAAACATAATCTAAGGAAATGACGTGAGCGCCTTTTTTTTAATATAATTTTTAAGTATTCAGTAATATGGAATTCTTAATTTTAATACTTCTGAAGAAATTTGGAATGTTTTCTACCTCTTTAGAATGCATAGTAACCTACCTATTAGTACTTTAGATGCAAAACTTTGCTGTCTGTAGCAAAACAAAATAGCAATAATAATAATCTGAAGATCATTATTCTACCCATTTTTATTAGTACGCTTGGAAGAGTCTCCATGAGTTTTTCAAATCTACCAAAAATGACGTTACTAAAAAATCAATAACTTGCTGAAGAGAGTTCTTGTGCATTGAGAAGATATTATGTCACTTGGTCTGCAGATGTTACTGGCATGAGGGGAAACATAATGATCAGGTGTTGAAAGGGGGGCAGTGGGGGGGGCATCATGGCTGGGAGTCTAGGGGGTTGTTACTTCTTTTTTTTTTTTTAAATTTAAGGCAGCCCAGGCAAGGATTACATTCACTTACGTGCTAATACCCTTGGGAAAGTTATGAATCCTCTTCTCTTCTCACCAGCTATGGGTAAATAGCAGGACAGACCGGGTTCTATAACCTTGGATGGCAACTGGTCTACCGCAGAAGGTTATGACAACCTACTGCGGGAAAAAAAAATCTCGTCAGTCATGTATCGAAAGATACATGATCGCCTAAGCGTGTATCACGCATGGCACAGAACTGACTGACTGAAGGCAACTTGAGAGTCACATTCAGATATATGGGAGACTGTTTGAGGGTATTTCTAACTGGGCCCCACCAGCGAGATTATGCGCTGCTTTTATCAAAATCGTTCACTATATCGCAGATATTTGGCTGAGTTGCATGTACTCGGTATACCTTTATCAGAATGGGTGTTATGATAGGTATATTAGGCTTTGTATATTTGAACTCCGGCGTCGCTTTGTTGGCGTGCTGCTCTTTCATTAAATAATAATAATAATAATAATAATAATAATAATAATAATGTCATCATCAGTTGTTGAGGATCTCTGAGTAGATAGTAGAAATTAGAAACAAAACTAAAGGGTTTATCCTATTAATTCAAAATCAAACTCTGCTAATGATCAGGTATGTATCTCTTCTGTACACGATAAAGAGACTATTATTAATCATAATACCTGATTGTTTTACCTTAGTAGCAAATGAATTAAAAAATAGGCCTGGCAGCGTAGGGCAATACTTAGAATATATGCCAACATTATAACTTTATATAACTTACCCAGGGCCGGTTCAAGGTACAGACATCTCAGGCAGTCACCAGGGGCGGCATCAAGGCTGAGGGTGCTGTCATACCGCTATGTTCTAAATGTTTTAGGTAGAATAATGAATGTTTTCTGTAGCTTGTATTAAGTTGTATATTGTAATAAACTCATTATTTTACAATTTCAGTTTTTCTCCTTGTAAAGGCGTCGACGTTCAGCTTGCTCGGGGTACATAAAAAATAAAAATCGTAGAGGCAAAAACCGCCTTCTACAAGCTGATGATGTTATTTTGTAATTTTCTGGTGCATACCAACCAAACTGTAAGCTAATAGACGAGATATTGTCATAAAAGAAAAGACTTTAAACTTTACAAAAATAAGAGCGGTAACTATAGTAAATTTAAAGCCAAAGTACCTAACATTCAATAAACCATTAGTAGATTACGAAGAATATTCTCTTAGAATTAACTACTGGGTCAATAAATCTATCCACACCTAATCAAAACACCTGTGTTAAAAAATGCATTCCTGCGATAAACTAAAAGTAAATAATATTTGTTTCAGATTGGAATTTTAAAGTTTATATCTGCTAAATATTCCTCAAATAAAGTTTCAGAAAACTATATTTTATTATTGAAAGATTTTTTTAATAAAGAGAATTAATTACGTTGTGCTGACAGATCTCTAAAATGGTTAAATCAGACGTTTTTTAATGATTAAAAAATATTAATCCTTCCAGTCAATTTAAATTAGTTTTGAAATACAGCATAATATTTTGCTTATTGTAAATATTAAATTTAATCTATTAGCTTGAAATTAAAAATAAAATAAAAGCTTCAAGAAAGATTTTTTATTTAAAAAAAATTAATTTTGAACCTCAGGTTTCGCTTTTCTTTGGTTGGAGTAAAAAATATATGATATCGACATACTGTATGATAAAAACATTTCAGTGAAATATTCATTTCTTTCTTCCCGAATTAGTCATGTTTTTTTTTATGTTTGAATATTGCAAATCAAGGTTATCGATAATAATTATGAAACCACTTTGTTTGTTTGTTTGTTTGTTTGTTTGTTTCTTTCTTTCTTTCTTTTGACGGTGATGTAAATGTTGCATTGAAATATTCACATACCAATACCATGTCATATAATTCCTACTCATTTTTGATTACTGACAAGCAGGTTCCTGGCTTTAGGTCACCTTCAAATTTTATCCCGCATTAGTATCCGATGGCAAATGAAAGATTTGGTGAACAACTTTGAAATTACCGTTTTTTTTGAGAAAAAAATCGAAACAGCCCTTAACCACTAAACCAGACTCAAGATTTAAGGACTTCTTGAAGAATGGAGGTATATAAAAGTAAAACTTTTAATTTTGGTAGTAAAATAATAATAATAATAATAATAATAAATAAATAAATAATAATAAAGGATTTAGATCGCTTTTCGAAAAAAATTTTCTCAAACCATATTCTTTCACTGTTTATATATCATTAAAAAAGCCTCCTACCTTCCCATACTTTAAGAAATGGAGTGAGATTTTTCATTTTCCCCTGAAAACAGCCCATCCCCACGTCCAACTTGTCTCAACTGTGCCAACCCAACACAAGTAATCCGTCATTGTCGTGCAAGTGTATATTTAAAAAATAAAATATTCTCTAAAGAAATACAAAATAAAATACGCAAACAAACTCACAAACAGTGCAATTTGTTCTGGGGTAATAGTGCCATAAAGTATGGTACCCACATGTGGGCTAAACTTGCTATCTACAACTTCTCTTCCCCGCCTCACTGAACTTCTTTTTCTTTGCTTTTTGCTGTAATAATTATTGTGCCAACAGCCATATCGCCCTCGCGTTTTCTCCTCCTCGTTTTCGATAACTGGATCCCCCTTGACTATGAACAATACAGAACTCCTGGATTGGTACATGCGTTTTTCAGCAGCCGATACATGCCTGGTGGGCTAAAACGTGACAAATAAAAGTGAAGAAAGCATATAAAAAGAGACATTCCAAATGTCTACTTCCTTGCTTGTAGAAAAAGATGAAAGGCAATTTCTTGCTTGGATTCGAACTGGGGCTGATTAATGATGCTGATGCTGGTGTTGATGATCCCATGAACTCTCTGATCTCGTAAGTTGTCAGTCAGTCGACTTATCAGCTCCAAGAATTTCCTTGTTTTATAAAAAGTGGTATAAATAATAACGAAAACTCAATGCTTTCCATTTTACAGATTTGAAAGAAAGAATAAAATTCAAAAGAAACTCTTCACTTTAATGTAGTTTTTTTTTTTTTTTTTTTAATAATACCAAAAGTATTTTAAAATCGAAAAATAAAATAAAAATATCTACTTTTCAAAAAAGTAATTATAGCACTCCCGGGAATTTTTGGCATTCTTTCATGAAGTGAAGAAAAAGTTCTCAATGTATTTTAAATTCACCTTTTTGTATAAACCTATGAAAAAATCCTTTGTTTTCAAGGAATACATTTAAAAAAATGAATTTTGATTATTTTAATACTAAACTAAAGACTAAGCGTGTTTGAATGATTTGAAAAAGTGAAAAATGGAAAAAGTAATGAGAGAAAAATCATAAAGTACGCTGTGTTAGGATAGAAAAAAGTTATAACTTCGACTAGAAAAAAAGAGTTATAACTTCGACTAGAAAAAAAAGTTATAACTTCGCATAAGAAAATCTCATAGAGAAAACAAGTAATATTTTCATTTTTTTTTTTTTTTTACTAATGTTCACCTAATACAAGGCCCAAGGGTCACTCAGGATAGAGGGTTACTGTTTGGAGTTGTATTAGCGTAAAGAAAAGGCTTGATAGTAGACAAAATAGACAGCTAATTCTAGACTTGAAAAGGTCAAGATTTAATTAGCAAACAAAATTTCAGAGTTCAGGCGGTGACATTAGGAGCATAGAGTTGAAGTAGACTTGAAGGAACCAGAAACCCAATCTTAAACATGAAACAAGGGATGAACCTCTACTCCTGTTCAAAAGACCGGGTAGGAGTTTGAATCGTTTTCAGGTAATATCTTAAAAGTTATATTTAATTTATAGTAATGAAATAAGTAACATTTTAATAAAGTAAATGTCGAGAAAATACGTAATGCTTTATTTTATCAAGATATATTTAAATAAATTGTAGTATTATTTATTTCATTTAAAATATTACCTGTTTTTAATTTTAAATGAAAATATATTATTTTCTCTCTGAGCTTTTTCATACCCACAAAAGTAGAAGTTATGATTTTTCCTACCCTAACACAGACAGCGTACTTTATGATTTTTCTTCCATTTAAATTTTCTCCAAGTAATCATTCATTTCATCATTTTTTTTTTTTTCTTCTTGCTGAAAAATAAATTTTTTGAGGTTTATTTTTTATTTGATAAAGTATATAACAATTGTGACTTTTGGCAGAAAAAAGAGATTTATTTTACTTACTTTTATTCCCTACTTATAAAAATATCCCAAATTTTTATGCTGGGTGGAAAATAACAACCGCGTACCGTGTGAGTAGGAAGCGATTTCAATATTTTTTTAGGCATTTTTTAATCGTTTTTTCAGAAATAGGAAAAGATTTAAAAAATACAGTTTTTCGTGTAATTAAAGAAATATATATGTGGAAAGCGGGAAGTCGTAAATTTACTCGACGAACGTGCCAGAGAGAATTACTTGAAACGTCATTAAATATTTTCTTACATTATTTATTTATTATTTTTTGTATTTTATCGTGTTTTTTATTTATTTATTTTTTTGGCAAAATTAAAAAAAAATGTCAGATTGTGTAACTAAATTTAAATGAAAATAACAAAACTGTACAATAAATTAGAATGTCTTTGTAAAATTTCCCGATTTCTTTTTATTTATTTACCTTAAAAATTGGACCGAAAATATTTTCTTTTTTAAATTAACGACGTTGTCGGATTTATTTGGATTTTAAACAGGAAACATTTATTTCAAAATAAACTCAGGAAAAAAGCGTTGTTGCTTTTATTATCATTTAAAACATTTATTGAACACATTATTTTAAGATTCTAAGAAATTTATTCTGAAATTTAGTACGGAGTGCGATTCGTAAACAGAAATAAAGTCACAAAGAAAAAAAGCAGAAAAGTCACATTTCAAATAAAATACTATTTAACCAACAATTGACAACTTAATTTTATGCCATGCCGTTACACGTCTTCCTTAAAGCAAGGTAATAAACTAAAAAGAAGACTTTTATCATTTATTGACAATACAAGTCGTACACAACAACTTCCATAATGTTTTTTTAGCATTACGTTTAAAAAAATGAATGTATAAAAGTAAAACTAAAAGTCAAGTGCCTCTTATTATGTCGTATGTTTGTGTAGTTGAGGTTAAGGCTTGGGCTTACGGTTGGGTACCATTTGTTTTAGTTTTTTTTGTTTGTTTTTTTTTAGGTTAGGGTGATTTTTTTCCTGTCTGTTATTTTTTTGTGGCATTTTATTAATTTTATTCTACAAATGAACGTTATTAAAATTAAATCAATTTGATTCAATTTCAGTGTAAGGCACATATCTTTTTTCTTGTGTTAATTAAAAATCGTAACTCTTAAATTTATGACATTAATTAAAACGAATATTGCTATTTTTTCAAATCTTATGACCGTACAACAGAAATAATACTTCTTTAATGCGCTACGTCCGTTTAGGAAGTGGACGATCATGACTCTCAATAACTTCCTTTCTTAAACTTTGTAGCTATTATTAACAATGTCGTCGTAAAACGAGAAAACTTTCCAGATATGTGACTGTTTGAACAACAGTCACATATCTGGAAAGTTGCAGATAAATGCATAGATACGAAAAAAAAAAAAAAAAAATAGAGAAGAAAAGAAAATATATCTAGCGAGAAACAACAGTTAAATTAAATACAAAGATAGCAGATGGGTTCATCATTATCGGCGTGCTTGGAACAGTTCTAAAGAATCCTTTTCAAAGATTAGAGCTGAAAATCCAACGAAAAATTGAAACCATTCAGACGGCAGCATTACTGAGCAGACATGTTGTCATTGGTTCTCGCATGAAAGTCACCCGTTACTATTGACGATAAAATAATGCCTCGAACTAAATAAAAATTAAATGAATAACTAATAGTACAAAATAAAACACCAGGACTTCGCCTGAGACGCAGGAGAGCTGTGGAAGATATAGTTTAAGTTTGCATCCGAAAATTTTGGCACAATTATCTGAAACTATGCCAAAAATTAAAAAAAAAAAGAAGATTGCTACAAATATATATTCAAATAAGAATTGAAACTGTCCTGACCATGATACTACTGGGGAATATGGAAAGATACCGAGGAAGGTTCTGGAGATTTGAGGAGATTTACTGTTATTCCACAAATAAAATGAAACACTTGGTGTGGACATGAAAATATATGAAGCAACAAGAAGAAGAAGAAGAAGAAGAAGAAGAAGAAGAAGAAGAAAAGGATGATAGGAAGAAGAGACATGATAATGTTGCAAGAATGATACATTGGGAATTATGCGGTAAGTAGTAGACGGTGGAGTAATGGATAGCGGCTCGGATTGAGAAATCGGAGAGCCGAGTTCGAATTCCAGTCAGATACCTTGGGAAAGGTATGAATCCTCTCTTTCTCCCCCGCCCCAGCTATGGATAAATAACAGGTAGCCTTGGATGGCAACTGGTCTACAGAAATGGCAACCTACTACAGGAAAAAAACTGCCTCGTCAGTCATGTATCGAAAGCACATAACTGATGGATAGGAGAATGCAAAAATGTGGTATGGACAAACTCCAGAAGGTGTCAAAATTGTGTCGGATGCCATGACCTATGATGACCATGGAATTCAGAAAGACAGTCATTGTCGTGGTAGATAAACATGCATCATCGTAGATATATGATGCCCATGAGACAAGAGAGTAGCTGATAAAGAAAAACAGGAAAACTATTTAAAATGGGAAATCATTGTGATCAATGAAAAGACTGAAAGTCATCAGCTTTGTTGTTGGTTCTCTGACCATCATAAGTACTACTGACCTACCGAAATGGCTTGAGAATGACAAGATTGGACATTCTTGGGACTGCCTGTATTCTCCGAAGAGTTCTTGAATCCTGATAAATGTACCACCTCACTAGTTGTTGACAGCTAGTAATTTGTTTCCATCTCCAGCAAAAATTCCTGTTTGCAGATCCAGCAGCAACAACACCAACAACACCAACAACAATACTACTGCTAGTATTACTAATAATAATTAGCACCACAACAATAAAGTGGTCTTTTCATAAATAAATTAATGTAGGACGTTCATGTCACTCTTGTCCCAGTTATAATTGGGGCGTTGGGGTCTATGCCACCGAACGTAAAGTTCTACATTAAAAAGATCGGAACAAAGCCTCGTATGCCATCGCTTCAGAAGTCTGTGTTGCTTGGTACTTAATGTTTATTTTTCGGCCAAAAGATAACATTGCTCAAATACATATGCCATAGTTTAAGTTACTTGAAATTGAAAAGTTCCTTCAACTGCGTTTAGTGTCCCGGCACTTTCATTTCAATACAGCCTATACAGACTGATTCAAAACTTATTCAAAAGTGCCGCCCTATAAATGTGTTGCTTGGGGCGTCTTCCCTCTATCTATGCCACTGCGTTCTTCAGGGAGGATTCAGTCTGAGGTCAAAAAATCTAATACTTAAATGGTTTGTATGGTTGATTGAAAAAGACCATTCCCTTCCCCCAATTCAATAATATTGCCATCAACAATAAAATAAAACGAAAAATGTAGGTGAAGAGTATAAAGAAGTGATAGACGTTTTCTACCATTCTCTTAATAATAATACCCCTTCTAGTAGGGTGGCTAGCCAATCCCTATTGCAGACGTTCACTCATGCACATTTGTGTTTGCTCAACATCCACAGAGCCCACATATGGTTTATACCGTAACTATGCTGAGCAGACCTTAGTTACAGTTTCTGGGAGAGAGCGTGCTATCTAGCGTGATCAACATAACAATTTGGATAAGGCCAGCCCTCACGAGTTCCGTCTAACCAATTTCACTCACAAGTATGGTTTTCAGTTTTGTATAGTGCCGCACACTCGATCAAGTCCGATAAAATCTTCTTCCTGACAAATCGACCATGATGAGATTCGAACCCGTGTCTCATGGGCAGAAAGCGAACGTTCTAACCACTCGGCCACATTCTCTTAATAAAGCATCAAATAAGAACCAATGGGCCAATACCTTTAAAAGTTCAGACATCAGCAGACAATTTGATGAAACTCAGCTTGTAAATGTAAGATGTGATATAAAAGATGGACAGATACAGAAATAAATGAAATAAAACGAAAAGTTGGTGTAAATCTGATCACAACAGCAGATGACAAAGAAATAATGAGAGCAAACTTAATGGAGGAAGTACGGAATTGCAAATGGCAGCAGAATGAATCAAAGATTTGTAGGGTGTAATAATGGATTAGTATAAAAAAGCGTAGATATAAACAACAATGAAGGGATTAACAATGACCGGGAAGAAAAAAGCTTTTTACAAAGATCATTATGATGGGATAAATCAAATAACTGATGAAATATTAAATGAACTTACAAAAGTAAAAAGAATATAGAATATCGTTACAAACTACTTTCGGACAATTAAAACAAAAACATATAAATTCTTCTTCTTCTTCTTCTTCTTCTTCTTCTTCTTCTTCTTCTTCTTCTTCTTCTTCTTTATGTGCTGTCTCCCCTCAGAACGTAGGCGAGCATGGCTCTCCACAATTTCCTGTCATTTGCAGCTCTAAGCTCTCTTCTCTTTATTTCTAAATCCAGTTCCGCCATCCATTTTCTCAAGCTCGTCAAGAATGTTATGCTTTGTTTTCCGCTGTCTCTCTTGCCCTCAATCTGTCCTGTGAGTATTTGATTTTCCAAACTCTCCTTCCTCATTATGTGCCTTAAAAATTTCAACCGTTTCTTCCAGATGTTAAGTATAAGTTTATTTTTTGTTTCCAATTTCTCTAAAACCTTGTCGATGCTCACATGTTTGGTCCATGGTATTCTCAGTATCTTTGTGCATAACCACATTTCTGTTGTTTCAAATCTTTTCATTTTTGAGGAGATTGTTCAGCATTCACTGCTGCACAGGAGGACAGGTATTACATAACATTTCAATACTCTGTTCTTTGTTTCTAACGAAATTTTTCTTTCTCTTAATACTCTGCTTAGCTTTTAGACTGCATCTTTGGCTCTCCGAATGCGTCTTCCGATTTCAGTGTCTTACTTTCTCTGTTAGAATATTTTTTAGATGTTTAAATTTTTGTGCTTGGTTGATTTTGGTATCTCTGATTTGTAATATGCATTTTGGGCTCATCCATTTGCTAATAAGCATTCATTCTGTCTCCTTGCAGTTGACGTTCATCCCTCTTTCCTTCGCTTCTCTTCTGTAGGCCCTTTTGTAATTTTCTTTCTGCATCTGCTGTCAACACTGTGTCAGTTGCATATCTTATGTTGTTAAGATTGTGGCCGACAATACTAAATCCTGGCAGGACATCTAATTGCATAGTTTGAATAAATAGGAAATTAAATGCTTAATAAAATGACACATAACTTGAATGATAGTAACGAAAGAGAATCAAATTCTTCAGGAAAAATAAAATATTTCCGATGTCGATTGATGAAAAAGTGAAGCGATTGATGAAAAGGTTTACAAGAAACACACTTGATTGAGAACAAAACCAAGAAATTATAAAGACAAAATTGGCAAAGTATTCTTCTTCTACGTGCCTTAAAGACAGACGATCATGGTCCTCCACAGCTTTCTATCTCGTGTGGTACTTGGCAGTTTTTCTACCTTGGCTACCCACCACTCCCGTTCCACAATCTATTCACACAAGCTCGTCAGGTAGGTAGCTCGCAGCCTTTACGTCGCTTTCTTGCTCTAAATATACTCCTTGAGGGTCCAGTTTTTCAAGCCCTCCTTTCTCATTATGCGTCCAAGGAATTTCAGTTACCTCTTCCTGATTCTGAGTAGAAGTGTTCTTCCTGATGTCATTTTAATTAAGACTTACTTGTTGCTCACTCGATCCGTTCATGCAATTTTCAGGATCCTTCTGCTGAAGGCAAAATATTAAAGTTTCCAAATTGCAAGATGCACTAAAAATCGTGCAAATCATCTGTTGTTGATAAAGTGCACAACTTTTGTGTTTTTAGATAGGAACTTGTTGAGAGCCATGATTGCCTACGTTCTAAAGGAATGTGGTACATAGAAGAAGTAGTACTGCATGGATAGACTGAAAAAATGCATTTGCTAATATTCCGTATTCATAGATAATAGACATCAGTTGATCTTTTAAAAGATCTTACCAATATTCAGGGTCGGATTACCCTTTAGGCTCATATAGGCTGCAGCTTAGATTCCTCAAGCTTTTATAAAGCAATGAATTTAATTTTATAGATGTTATAATCTCTAAACACTTTCATAAGCTGAAATGACAAACTCATATTTATTTGACTTTGAAGGAAGCAAAGCAAGGAAAAGAATGTTTTAGTTTATGTCATTGTGTTTCAAGTAGATGACATGTTTGATTTTAGTTCAGAATGTTTAAATCTTTGAAATTTTTATAAGGCAGTGGTTTTAATTTTCTAGATGTTATAACTTCTAACTAGCTTCATAAACTGAAATGATATCAATACGACAAACCCATTTATTTTGATTGTTTTATTGTTATAATGCTGGTTATAATTTTTTTTTAAACTACGGCTGTGTTATACATGCTAATTTGGTTTGCAATAAATAGTAAAATAGTTTGTATTTCTTAAAGAATATTTTTATTGATAAACAAAAGATAGTTATTCAAGTTTATTTAAATAATTTGCAATAAGTTTACTTCAAGCTGTGTAAATGTCGCTAAAATATATCATGAGTAAAAAATATTCAATACAGGTGCGGGCGTGTTAGAGGGAAGCCCATACTTTCATTGGCCTAGGGAGCCTAAAAGGTCATAACCTGGCCCTACCAATATTAAGCAATTTTTTGAGACATAACATAGAACTAAAACCGTTTGTCCTCACATTCAAATGGTTTTATAACAGCTTCCAAAAATCAGGGCCGTAAACACGTTGAAAATAGAGAACAGAAGCATTTACATTGAGAAATAGACTCTTCGACGCCAATATATAATATATAACAATAATACATTCGTTACTAGCTTCGGAGCTGTTGTCATAAAAAGAAAAAGAGAGATGTATACTGGCTGCACAAAAGTAAAATCTTTAACTGTAAGTTAAAATTTTAAAAATGAAACCAATCCAAAATGTCGCTTTTGAAATATATATGTGAAAGTAAAACTAATAGCTTATTATTTTCTGGTTTCTGTGTTTTAATTACAACATAATATAAACGAAGACCTGATAGTGTAGGTCAATTGTTAAAAATTGCTAGCATCAAAAAATACTAACTTTAAATTTACTAATTAGCTAAACTGAATCTTTACTTTTTTTTATTTAACCATATAAAGCAGACGTCTAGCTGAAAATTTATTAATCAGAAACAAAAATGAAGACATTTTTTCGAGGGCTTTTTTTTTAGTCGCAGGTAAATAAAGAATTAAAGAAAAAAACAAGTGTTGTGTTTAGTTTCTGTAAAATGAGAGATAGGTTAATCTTTTGACGAACTTTATAAGTTCTTACAAAAATATAGGAGTTTTACCTATTGTTGTTGTTGTTTCTTCTTCTTCTTCTTCTTCTTCTTCTTCTTCTTCTTCTTCTTCTTCTTCTTCTTCTTCTTCTCGGTGCCCTTACCCCTTCAGGACGTGGGCGATCTTGGCTACCCACACATTTTGTATCTCTTAGCAACGTTTGTCTTTTTAATATTCACCCGCCATTCCGTTCTGCTATCGAACTGTATGTAGGTTACTTGTTGTTTCCCTCCGTCCCTTCTTACCTTCGACGTATCCTTGTGAGTGTCAAATTTTTTAACCCTTCTTTCCTCATTAAGCAATCCAGAAAGTGTCTTTCTTGCTATAAGTTTACGTTTTGTTTACATTTTTTTTGTGAAAATTCGACATCTATTTTAATTAAATGTGATTCAAGAGTTTATATAATGGAGATTATTTTTGTATAGAGTATGTTTTAATAAATACAAATTTGAAATCCATGATCTATGATTTAGGCCAGTGGTTCCCAAACTTTTTTTTCTCTGGGCCACATTTTCGGAATGAAAATTTGCTCACCCCTCACCAAATTTTATGTGATAGAAAGTACATTAAAAAAACAAACAAAAAAAAACAAAAAAACAGACAGAAGTTTAAAGGGAGATAACCTCGGATTCGAAGTCAGAACATTATCCTTGATAACTCTCTCTACTAAATTGCGGACCCCAGTAACTATTTCTTAATGCTTGATATAATGCAAAAATATTACAATGATAAAATGTGTCAATAATTATTTATAACTATTTATACTGGGACAAGTAATCCATAATAATATTTCAAATTTTGAAATCATACTTATTTTTGGCATATTGAAACTGTTTCTAAAGTTTTGATTATCTTTCAACCATTCCGCCTCAGTTGTTATCCTCTTCCGCCACACCTGTGAGGCTCACCACACCGCTTGGGAACCACAGATTTAGGCCGAAGCTTCTGTTTAGGTTTCAGCAAGAAATAACTTAAAATTTCTGCCCTACGTAGGCTGGTTTTTGAACTAGTTTATAATAATCCAACGCATTTATTTGATAAGACCAACTTATTTTTTTAATCTTTTTTGGTTTTAGTTTTTTTCTTTTTTTAAGTTTGTCAATTACACAAAACCTTTTTTTCTTTTCTCACTTTCCTGAATAAAGTTAACGTTGTGTTTTATATTAAAACTCCTAACTGAAGAACTCTCATTAATGGAGACAAACCTAGAATGAAAATATAAATTCTTGCTTCTTGAGAAGATTTGCGTTTTTAACACTCATTTTCAGCGCTATTAAAGTTTTCGTTGTTTTTTTTCTTCCACTTATTCAGCCGATATTTTCTTTTTCATAGTAATTAGATAAGGAATAATTAGAACATTTAGAAAAGTGTTTAATTGCATGACCTATACTACTATAAAATTGTCATGTCATTGTGTGTGTATGCGAATCAAGAACAAATGTTCACTTCGAGAGAAAAGAAGAGGAATGTCTGGTCTGCTATAGAAGTGACCAATGAAAACTAAACTCATATTTCTTGTAAATTGCTTGAGCAATTCATCTGTTAACTAGTGTCTGATAGTGTTACAGATATCAGCGTGGAAAGTGGAATTGGCGTGCCGAGTTCAAATTCCGAGCTAGTCTGTTGCATTTACTTTCTCACGGCTGCATTTACGAAAGATACAAATCTGTCTTTTCTTACGCAAGTTATGTGTTAAATATCAGATGAGAGTGGGCTTTTAAGCAAAAAGGTGAAAGTTTTCGACTTAAGGAATGAAAAAAATCCGATTGATTGATTTGCTTTACGGCTTATCAACCTTTTATGGGTTATTTAAAGCCGAGACATATCTTTGAAGAGTATAAGAATAATCATTTTTTTGCGAGTTAATATTGTATTAACAATTTAAGGGATAAATATAAATTATATAACAATGATTTTTTCCAGATACAACTTGTATAAAAAGTAGATTGCAATAAACTTTTTCTTAAAAATAGATTGTAGGACTTTTCCAAGAAAATAAAGTGGATGGTTCGTTTCCTGCGGCTTATCAATTCTTTTACAGGTTAATTAATAATGCCATAATCTAATTTTAGATTGTAAGAATGTTTTTTTTTTTTTTTTTAGATAATAATGGTTTAGGGATATAAGTTTTACGAATTAACCCATAGCAGGGGTATAAAATTCACACCTTTTCCTAAGAGTATTTTCACGTAAGTGAGCATAATGAAACAAACTGGAATTGAAACTCGGCTGACGGGAAACAATTCCGAGCCATTATCCATTACATCACTCGTATATCCAAGCTGACAACACTTGGTATCGTACAGAAATAGATCGTAAACATATATTCTATATTTTTATATCCTATTATAAAAGCGGAAAAATCGTATATTTTTAATCATTTCACCCCAAGCAAGGTAAAAAGCCACTAAGACACAAGGGGTTACTGGGTGTTACAGAATATGAAAAAAATATACTATTAAAGAGAGAGAGGGCAATAAAAGAACGAAAATGAAGATGACAGTAGATAACGATTGATATTGCATTTAAATGTTTGAAGATCAAAGTTGCCTAGGAAGCAAGAAACCGGAAGAGAGTTCCACAAGTGAGAAGTGCGATAGAAGAAACTATTAGAACTTCATCTAGCCATTTTAACTGTAAAATGATAGGACATTGCCTCTAATCTGGTACTACACTTAAATTCATGAAGTCAAGGTAACATAGAAGAAAGTTCATCAAAACAATTACCATGAAAGTATTTATAGAAAAGGTACAGGGAAACTACGGTAGGAAAGTAAAGGAAGCCGAGAGTCCAATTCACAAAAACCTACTTGCTATAGAAACCATTACAGCGTTGTGATGAGGCTGTGGCCCTATACTCCAAAGAGGAATCTACAGAACAACTCCAATTTATAAAAAAAACCTATTTGTTATAAAAACATCGCAGCAATACCTTCGGTGATGAGGCTGTGGCTCTATATTCCACGGGGAGTTTATAGGGTTAAGACCTCCACCCTATAAAAAGTACTTGCTACAAAAACCACCGCAGCAATCCTTAGAGTGGCGAGTCTGTGGCGTTATACTCTAAAGGGGGTCTATATAGATAACTGATTGATAATATAAAATACAATGTAATTTTATATCGGTTCCGTAGTCTCATCCACTTTCTTAGTAATGAGGTATTGTGTTTCGATATCAGCTGGAGGCGTTACTCGACACTAGTACACAATCATGCATTGTATTACTATAAAAACGGAATACCTCATTAGTATGGTAAATGCATTTTTCTTTTTATTTCTTAGTTTTGTATTTGAATATTTTTAATGATTTATAAGGATTATTCATACATATAGCCATATAACCAATGCAATTCAAAAATTAATTAGATATTGTGGTCATTTTTAACAGAACCGGCAAACTATTAATAATAATGATAATAATAATGATAATAATAATGATAATAATAATGATAATGGTGGTGGCTAGGATAATTTCATACACGTCTGGTTTATAAAGTGAATTACGTGATGTTAGGGCGGTTACCCATTCCTTATTGCTTCCGGGGCATGCGCACCTCTGTCTACATTAGTAGCTTTGTGCTATTTTATCAGTTTCAGAGTCCAGATCATCTGATGCTTCGGTGTCCACACACACACACACACACACACACACACACACACGCACACGCGTATACACACACGCACATACACAGACCACATATATATGCAAGTATGTGTGTATGTATGCATGTATGTGTATGCGTGCATGAGTGTGAAAACTTGTACGTAGGCCCTTTTCGAAATCATTATAAATCTCGTTTTATCTAAATCTCTCCCTTTTTACGCCTCTGTTCGTTCTGACTAAGTCATTGTATCGTAACATTTCTCCATTTTCCTTCAACATCTGGTGAACACTGGCCTCTCACATCTGGGAAGCAGACTCATGTTTTTAGCATTTTCTGTTCTTTCCAGACTCCGACAGATTTTTTTATTCGTTTTGTTTTGTACTTTTAATCACCCTTTTCAAATAATTCCTCTTTCAATATTTCTTTTTTCTTTTGCATTCCTTAGGCTTTTTGTCCATTTCTTTCTTCTTTTTTTTTTTTTTTTGGCATTTTTTTATCTTTAGCATTTCTTTCTTCCTTTTGCTTTTTTGAAGCTTTTACCATCTTTTCGATGTCTTTCTTTCTTTCTTTCTTTCTTTCTTTCTTTCTTGCTTGCTTGCTTGCTTTTCTAGTTCATTCATTCCTTCTTTCTCCCTTTTTCTTTCTTTCGGAATATCCAGATCTTTTTTATTTCCTTGTTTCTTTTCTTGTTCTTTCTTTTTTTTTCTACTCTCCTTTCTTCATCCCTTCCTTCCTTCCTTCCTTCCTTCCTTCCTTCCTTCCTTCCTTCCTTCCTTCCTTCCTTCTTGAATTCGTTCTTTATAAATTTCTTTTTCTGTGTACTGTTTTTTCCCCTTCATTTTCTTTTTTTTCCTATCAGTTCATTTATTGATTTTTTTCTCTCTTTTTTTTTCTTTCTTTCTGGATATCTACATATTTTTTTCTCCTTTGTTTATTTTCTTTTTATTTCTTCTTCCTTCTCTCCTTCCTTTCTTCCTTCCTTTTTTTCTAAATTCGTTCTTTATAGATTTCTTTTTCAATGTCAATTTTTCCCCCTTACGATTTCTAGCTTTCTTAGCCCTTCTACTTTCCTTCTCTGCGTATTACTTCAATACCATATCTTTTTACAATCCTCCATTCCTCTATCTTTCTCTTTCCCTCTTTACACTTCTCTGTATATTTCCCAGTTGCTATCACTCCACATTTGCTCTTTTTTTTCCATTAAAAGGCAGATAACGATCCCCACAGGTTTCATTGTGCTCGTAAGTATATATATATATATATATATATATATATATATATATATATATATATATATATATATATATATATATATATATATATATATATACGTTATTTTAAGGTACACGTACAGTGTACAGTTGATATCCTTGTTTTGTTTTTCTTAAAAACTATGAATAACACCGTGGCCAAACTAATAGCCGCACACTTTGGCTAAATATACGATTTCTTTAGTGAAGTGAAAAGGAGATGCAGGTTCGATTCCTATCGGTGGTGCAATTTTTCTTTAGTTGGATTTCTCATTCTCGGTTGATTACTGTTATTTAATTTCACTGTTTAAAAAAAAAACCAAAAGACAAAACAGAGATAGCAACTCAAACATGTTAAAAATAACATTTATAGTAATAATGTCGGATAAAAAAAATAAAATAATACTTTCAATATATTGTGAAATATATATATATAATTAGGTCACGTAAATTATGAAAACAAGTGTATTGACCTAAAATCTGAAGTTTATTTCATCTTATTAAATTTATAAGCTCACTTAAATGGCACATGGATCTGGATTTTATCCTTTTAATCGATATGTATCGATTAAATCGAATGATTTCAGCAAGTAATATCTTAATTGGTTACAAAGTTTAGAGATATTCCAGCTATTTTCTATTTGAAATGAAGAAAAAAATACCCAGAAATAAATAAATAAGGCCATTGAAAGAATAATAATTTGGTGGAACTAAACATTTTTAATGCAGCGTCATTGTAATTTCAAATATAGTGAAATGATGTGAATGGATTTATTTTGGCTTCGAATGGAAATTTCCCATATTTTACTATGTTATTAAATCTGACTCTCATTTGTAACCAAGTTACATAAAGACCGAATAACTGGTTCTGGAGATATTCAAAATCGATGGATACTTTCTAGATAGACCTATTTTCGGTAAGATGAACAGGTGAATAAAACGTTCCCCGATTTTGGAAAAGAAAGGCTACACAGATGTATTTAAGATGTTAAACAAAAATTCAAACTGAACTTCAAAAACACAACACTAACAGAGTTCTGAACAACTTAAAAAGAAAATAACACAAATTAAGAATAGGTATAATAGTGTTATTTAGTTTGGTTCAAACCCTACAAAATCGCTTGGAAAGGAATCATCTCATTATTTGATCCGATATTATGATCAAAACAGGATGTCATTCTTCGTCCAATCGGTTGTATTACTGATATCTTCTTCTTCTTCCTCTTTGTGACGTGTCCCTTCAGGACATGGGCGATCATGGCTCTCTTTAACTTCCTGTTCTTTGTAGCTCTTAGTAAGGTTTATCGGTTTTGCCATCTGCCAACCATTTACACAAGCTCGTTAGGTAGGTTACTGGGTGACTTCCTCTATCCCTCTTGCTTTCAATGTGTCTTGTGAGTGTCATATTCCCCAAATCCTCTTTCCTCATTATGTGTCCTAGAAATTTCAATTTTTGATTCTAAGTACAAGTATTTTTGTTATTTCTATTTTCCTTAAAACTTCGTCGCTGCCCACATGTTCCTTCCAGGGAATTCTCATCATCCTTCTGCAGAAGCACATTTCTGTTGCTTTAGGTCTTTTCTTCATCTGTGACGAGATGCTCCAGCATTCACTGCCATATAGGAGGATCGATATTACATAAAAGTTCAATAAACTTTTCTTTTCACTAATAATATCCTTTCTTTGTTAGTGATATCAGGTTTCTTAAATGACTTATTCCCACTGGAAATCGATACTATTGTTATAAATAGGACATTCAAATGAACCTAATTATGCATACCTGTTAAAATATATTTATATATGGATTATCTAAATAAGTAATGGATTTTTTATTAATCCGACGAATTTTATCACTTTAAACGTTATTTCTTAGTGGATACCCATATTTGAGTAGATGCTCCGTTTATTTTTTAAAGGATATATATATATATATATATATATATATATATATATATATATATATATATATATATATTTATTTATTTATTTTCGTTTTTCGACCTGAATCTCATTAAAAACAAAATAACTTTCCTCTGGCAGGTTTCGAACCTGCGCCCTCCTTGACAGAGTAAACCGTTGGTAAACTCGACGTACTTATACTGACTTGGCTACGAAGGACCTTTGCCGATCAAGTAAGGCTGAATAGTCCCTTTAAGCAAAATCTTTCTCGTCATAGATTCTCAAAATTTCATATATGCTCAGTTTTCTTGAATATTTAGGCCGGTAGACAAAAATAAATAAATATATTAATAAATAATCAGCGTCATTCACGCAAAAGGAGTATGACTATTTCTAACATTATCATACGTTAAGACAACTATTACACTAATAATTTACATTAATTTTACATTAAATGATACGTGTGCATAACAAAAAGTTTCCATGCTTTTTGTATGAATTTTTAAACAGTGTGTATTATGTGTATCGGCCTTTGCACTCAGGAAAACTTAATAAACAAGAAGATGAGATCTCCAGTAGGTTTGTGCACCACTTGTAGGAGAAACCATCGTTTAATCTGACATGCATTAAACCACTTAGCCACAGAGAGTGTTATAGCCCAGCAAGGGTCTATTTACCCTTTTGAAGAATGCATTCCTATTCATTTTTTAGACAAGACGTCTATTTCAAACACGGGTGTTCACTAAAAATAACGTTGGAAATAACGTGTGAATAATAAAAATGTCAGATTAAAGTAAATCCATTAATTCTTTATAAATTGTTTTGTTTACTTTTCGAAAACAAAACTGAGAACTATGGCCGTTTGAGAATAATTGAAGGAAGAAATGTGCATTTTTCAAAAGGGCAAGTAAAACCTTAGTGGTTTATGGCCGAACAGTCTAAAGCATGTTGGATCAAATGGTGGTTTCTCCTACAAAGGTGGATGCAGTTTCCTACCTTGCCAGAGAGCACATGTATTTAATTACAGTTTTTGAAGAGCTCAGGCTGATAGAAAATAATACACACTGCATCTATTTCAAATAGGAATAGCAACCAAAAATAACATTTTAAATAATAAAATAACATTTTAAATAATAAAATGTCATACCATATATATATATATATATATATATATATATATATATATATATATATATATATATATATATATATATATATAAACAGTGCATAGTGAGTGCTGGTTGTAATATAACATTGCCATTTGATGCAAAATAACAGAGCTAAAATTTATATTACTAATAATATATATTTTTCTCACCTTCTAATACAACTCTGAGTTTCATGCACGTTGCAATCATCAGGCATAAATTGAAAATTTATAAGTATATTTATATATACACAAGAAGTGTGAACAGTCTATTTCATCTTTGACCACAATCATAAATATAACACCCATAGATATAGCATACCTTAAATATATTAATAGCATACCTTAAACAGGCATAAATATAGCATACCTTAAAACTGTATTTTTATAAATATATATATATATATATTATAAATTAATTGATTTAAAATATATCATTTTTTCGCTACACAGTTCAACCATCTTTTCAAATTCGCTTGAAGATGAAATGGAACTAATTTTAATTTTTTGCAAATAAAAAAAAATTAGGGTTTTAGCTTCTATTTTGAAACATGGTTGAACTGTGTAAATAAAATAACCATATTTTAAATCAATTAATTTATAATATTAATGCTCTGTAAATTTACATTGAGCACTATTTTGTAAAATAAAATATCTATAAGAACACGGATTTTATATCTTTGTTCTTTCTTTTTTTATATATATATATATATATATATATATATATATATATATATATATATATATATATATTAGAAAATATAGTTTTCAGTACAACACAAAAATAAAATACATCATAAACAGTTAAAACCTGAAGAGAAATTAACAACATCTAAAACAAAGCCCATTGAAAATAGCTAAAGAAATGGCTGAAGGTGCTTGGGACAATGGACAATGGAGACAATTTTTGCACTGCCTTACTCCCATCTAACAGAAAAATGTCAGAATGCTGGAAATGCTAAATAAAAAATGAATTAAATTTTCCTTGTCTGTCATATATATATATATATATATATATATATATATATATATATATATATCTGTATTGTGGCAAAGTTGGAAAAGCTTTTTAATGATAATGCATTTCACCTTCATTTTGAATTTTAAATTCATTTGTCATTAAAAAGGTTTTTCACTTGTCTCACTGCTTCACATTTAATTAGATTCTACATTTAACACATGCACACACACACACATGCACACAAACACACCACACACTTACACACATATATATGCATTATTTACATTATTTATATTCATGCTATTATCCTCATCTTTGTTGTTATTACTACAACATTTGTGTGCCCTCTGGCCTTCATCAGTGCTTGTTGATCTGGGTAACCTGCAGACAATTATAAAATGAACTATTTATTTAATCTGTGGAAGTAGATTGTTCTCATTCCACTGTCAAGGTCTAGGTACATTTCACCTTGTTCTTATTTACTACTACTACTACTAGTACTACTACTACTACTACTACTACCACCACCAGTACTACTATTAATAATAATTATCAGTAATAATTAATAATTGTTGCTAATTCTTCATCTGAAAAGAAATAAAATCTGATCTGAGTCAAGTAATCATTTATATTTTTTAGATTACAAACTTCTAAAATCATTTTAATCTTCAAGGACTGGATACAAACTTTTGGCTCATAATATTATCTTTTCTCTGAGGGCTGGAAAGCAGATTAGCAGCATGGCAGAAGACTGGTAGTGATACTGAAACAAACTCTAGCAAGAGCAATCAAAAAGATTTATTTATTCCACTCTTTTGTTTAACAATCATCTCAGGAAACCCTGTTGAGTTTACAGCCATGTTGAACATGTTCTCTATTGCCATGTGACAATGATGAAGATAAAGAATATATAGCCTGGTGATAATGAAGCTGGTCTGTCAGGAAGTGAGGTAGGACA